AGAGGTGTGCTTTCAGAGTGGGTGTCCCTGTTCTGCAGAAATAACATCCCCATTGAGAAATGAAAGGCACCCACTATCTGTACTTCATGGGAACAGCTGAAGACATTTCTGTTTCAGCAAGATTTTCCACCAGGATGAAAAGGTCTCTCTGCCTTTAGCTGTTCATTTTGTACCATTTCTAAAGCGTACTTTGCAACTGCTTTTAACAGTGTTTTTAGTTGTTCTTTTATGGAGTGTTTGTAAATCACCTTGAGAAAAATGCAAAATACCATTCATCAGTTACTAAACAACAACAGAGCATGCTAAGAAATGGCTGAAGGGATGGCTGAAGGGGAGGGAAGTGGATGGGTTGTAACATTTCCTGATTTCACGTTGTCAATAAGATATATGACTGCAGGCTGGCACTAGATGTGGTTAAAAAGTCTCCAGAATGACTAATCAATACCAAAAACATTGCACAAGACCTGCAATTCCTTCCCACTTTTCAAGAAAAGCATGTGCAATGAAAGGCACATTTGCAGGGTGCTTTAACAGTCCCCATTTGGTTTGGTTTTACGACTCAATAATAAAACCCCTATTTATGGAAGATGAAAGGACAGGGAACTCTTACTACATCGTCTGTGCAGTTCCCTCAAAGTGGTCTGAAAACAATGCAGGGATCCGAAAGTAAGCGTGCAATTCAGAAGTGTGCAAGCGAATCAATAAAAAGGCTTTATTTGTGTGTTTGTGAGGATAGTATCAAGCTTGAGATCATCACAGAATTCAAGGACAGTAAATCTCATGAATCCCAGGCAATTCCCAGACTGCGCAAGGGGGCTTTCTGAACAGGATTAGTCCTTGGAAGTTACTTGCACTGAAGAAAACAAGGGATCTTTTTGGGTGAAGGTGCATAGGGCTGGTTTACAATTCAGGCTTCCTTTATACAGTGGTACCTCGGGTTAAGAACTTAATTCATTCTGGAGGTCCGTTCTTAACCTGAAACTGTTCTTAACCTGAAGCACCACTTTAGCTAATGGGGCCTCCTGCTGCCGCCGGAGCACGATTTCTGTTCTCATCCTGAAGCAAAGTTCTTAACGCGAGGTACTATTTCTGGGTTAGCGGAGTCTGTAACCTGAAGCATCTGTAACCTGAAGCGTCTGTAACCTGAAGCGTCTGTAACCCAAGGTAGCACTGCAGATTGTAAAAATAATAATACAGGAGCTCCCAGAGTGCACAGAACAGAAGTGTTCATCACCATTCCCTCTAAAAGCAAACTTGGGGGTGGTGTGACAATCAATCTGAAAGCAAAACAGAGGCTCATGAAAAAGTCCTCATGAAAAAGCACCTGCATTTTAGTGTGGATTTCTCCTGATATACTTATTTTTTGCCTAATATTTTTAATATGTCACTTCCGCAAATATATGCATTCTTAACCATGCTTTACCCCAGGATATTCAATTTTGGACACATTACTCGGCTGGACAACTGCACTGCAAAATCTGGAATATCTCTGTGCTTCAGTTCTCATATTGTTTTGGAATGTGTAAATTAGGCAGGTTCGCCCTTTAACGACAAACCAAGTCGAATTTCTCCCTCGTCCCTGTGGGTACGGTAGGGTATCTCACAGAACAGCCTAGCCATTGCATTCTGCGCTAGATGCAACGTTGCCTTGAGCTCCCCCCCCTTTTTCTTTAAAAAGGAAAACTGGGGTAGAAACCTTCCAATCAAACAAGAGTGAGGGACTTCTTCCAAGCATCTAGGATCAGGGCTCCACCTTCCATGAGACAAGGTGAAGCGACTGCCTCAGGTGGCCGGTTCCACAGGGGTGGCAGCAGCTCTGGCATGTTCCTTGGAGGCTAATGTTGCCACCTCTACAGCAGCCTCTTGGCAAATACATGGCCCTGCTGGGTCTCCTCTCAACCTTGTCCCCAGAGCAGATCTTTGTTCTCCATTTCTTCCCGATGTAGATCATCAGCCATTCCTCTTCCCTAGCAGATGTCTTGGATAATCCCTGTCTAGGATTATCCTGAGATAATGCAAATGAAGTGGTCTGAGAGCATTCTAAAGCAGCCTTCACCAGCTTGGAGACTTCCAAGTGTTTCAGACCACAGCTCCCATCAGGGGCTGATGGGAGTTGTGGTCCAAAACACCTGGAAGACACCAGACTGGCAAGGGCTCTTCCCAAAGTTTCAGGAAGACCCTAACTGTGCTGGGCCCAGAGGTAACCCGAGCAACGCGGTCCAGGCCCGGTCCCAAATCCAAGGGTTCCGCGAGGAGTCAGTCCGACAGGGCCAAGGCAGGACACAAGGCAGGAAACCAGGCAAGGTCAGGCACAGGATCACAGGCAGGTTCTGGCAAACAGCAATGCTACTCCCACAACCTGGTGTGGGGTCCAGCAGCCTTTTATCTCTGTCGGGGTAACGGTCGGTCCTGATCCCCCGGTGACTCACCTCCCTGTCTTGCCCGAAGGCGAGCACTCCTCCTGCGAGTACTCAGGTCTCTCCTTCTCTCAGACCTTAGTCTCTGCAGCTCGGGAGATGTTGGTGGGTTAGTAGACCCAGAGGCCGCCTCAGCCTCCACTGACCCAACTGGTAGTGGAGCAGCTGTAAGTGATTGCCCAGCTGGAGGCAACAAGGTAATCTCCGCATCTGGAGCTGGTGCTTGTTGCAGGGGAACCTGGGCAGACTGGGGCTCTTCAGAATCAGGCCCCAGACAAAGTTCAGCTGCCGCCTGAGGCAAAGGATCCGGTGTGGACTGAGACTCCTCTGGCTCCGAGTCAGAGTCCCAGGCCATCACACCAACCTTAACATCGAGACAATAACACTGACCTGCTTTGCTGAGCTGCAATAAGCAGAAAACTACAGAAAAATGTGTGGCTTTGAACATTCTTAAGTGCTATGGGAATACTAGGCACGGTTATTATTTCTATTACTGCAGTGATGATGGAGATATGAATTGCAGTCAGCTACAGATTATTATTATGCTACCTCCTCGCCCTACAGTTCTACTCTCTCTATATATAGATGTATATTCCTCCTAGGATAAATGCAGGACACAGTACAATTGCCCCCTATCTCCACTGGTGCAAACCACCTTCAACAGTGAACTGGCCTGCGGTGAGAATGAAAGCATTTTAAACGAATGAAGAAAGAGCAAGCAAAGGCAGAAGAGAAAATGGGCTTTAACTCCCCACTTTTCAGAGAGAAAAAAGGACGACAGGATGTGCACAACTGGGTTTACTAAGATAAAGGACCGTTTTCCCCAAGTACCTTGGCTATGCACTCACAGAGAGGGCGGTGGGCTCTTGTGGGCGTTGCTTTTTTGGAACGGCAATAAAACGTGACCTTTGAGACTCGTTTTTCGCATTAAGGAGTTTGGAGTAGGAGGAGAGACTGCCCCAGGCTTTTCTCCTTGACACGGCGCCAAATGTGTCATCACAGAGCTTCAAGTGCTTGGGATGGGAACTTACAGAACGGCCATTTCTCCAACTCAACTTTTCATTAATGCTGATAAATCAAAAGCGGCTGACGCAACGGTCCACATTGCTGCTGCAGCATTAGTGCTTCCACCATGCACTCTGACCCGTAGCTTGTTGGTAGGCTATGGGAACATTCCCCCTGACCCATTTTCTAGACCCCTTCCTAGAACATTCATCTTTCATTACAGCAAAAGGCAAGTCTCTAGAAGGGCTCGGCGATATATCTGGTTTTCAACATCAGGATATATAACCAGATGAACATCACAATATATCATAATGTCTGATATAAGGATGGAACTATGCAGAGGTATTGGGCTGGCTTCATGGTTTTCCCCACATTGTGATTTTGTGTTACACACACACACACACACACACACACACACACACTGTGATTTGCTATCTACTGCCAGGTCAAACATTATGAAATCAACATCATGATACGGATTTCAAACCGGTTTTGGATGATACAGTCATACCTTGGAAGACAAACAGCTTAGTTCCCAAACGTTTTGGCTCCTGAACATCACAAACCCGGAAGTGACTGTTCCAGTTTGTGAACTATTTTCGGAAGCCAAACATTTGACGGGGCTTCTGCGGCTTCCAATGCAGCCAATCAGAAGCCACGCTTTTGGAAGTCAAATGGAACGGATTCTGTTCGACTTCCAAGGTACGACTGTATATCAATCAAACCTGGTCTCTAGCCCTTTGGCTCATGAAGATAAGGAAAAAGAAACATGCAGGCAGTGCCATGCAACTAGCAAACTTGGGTGATGGGGATGACAGGACATAAGAGAGGTATCAGTGCCATTCCTCTGCCTGCCTCCCCCCCCCCAAAAAAAACCCCAACTACAGACAAGGACTGAGCACCCTCATTAGCTACAAAAAAACTGGAAAAGAAAAACAGGAGTAGTGATGGAATGGAGTAGCCTCAAGAAGGACATGGCTGGCTAGCACCCTAAAGGGAAGCACACTTCTTAGGACGATGAAATGCAGTGTTTTGTTGCAGGTCCCTGTTATTCTATTCCATTCTCCAGCAAGAACATCCCACTGTTTTGTCCCCCAAAAATACAGAGGCACTGGGATGACTTATGTCCGGCACTTACTTGTCATTTTACTAGAAATTTAATTTTGCAGATGTGAGTTAATAAACCAAATATCTTCCAATGTACTGGACTACATTTACAGTGTACCTCGGGTTACATACGCTTCAGGTTACAGACTCCGCTAACCCAGAAATAGTACCTCGGGTTAAGAACTTTGCTTCAGGATAAGAACAGAAATCGTGCTCCGGCGGTGCGGCAGCAGCGGGAGGCCCCATTAGCTAAAGTGGTGCTTCAGGTTAAGAACAGTTGGAGGTTAAGAATGGACCTCCGGAACGAATTAAGTACTTAAACCGAGGTACCACTGTATTCCCATTTTTGCCCTTATACAGGAATCCATGGCAGTGTTCAACACACACACACACACACACACACACACACACACACACCAACCCCCAGTTATGCACAGGTCAACCACAAAGTCCCCACTCGCTGCAAAGCTTCTGCTACAAGTCAGGACCTTACCTTTCCGGAACAACTCCTGAAGGCTTTCCGCGCTTTGATTCAATACAGCCCATATTTCTTCTTCATGCAGTGGTCCTCCCCGAACCTCCAGGGCTTCAGCTAGTGACACATGCATGTTATCTGAGGAATCAAGACAAGATGACACTTGTTCAAGAATGTGCCAGGACTCCATTCAGGTCTTTCTGATGTGTACTATTTGCATAGAATTCGGGAGGAATTTTGCTCTGAAGGCAACAACAAGGGCAATTCAAACCTACCTCCAAAACACAATATTTAGATTCCTGAAAACGTCTTGCATGCAAAGGGCATACGAAGAGGGGTTGCTTCTAGTCAGAGTAGACAGTTTGAGACTAGACGGACCAATGGTCTTATTGGGACTAAGGCAGTTCCATAGGTTCTATTCTCACATTAAATGCACTAAGCAGCATCTATTTGTTTTTTTCCTTACAGAACTACCCTGGCTAAGTTCTGCAACTGTAGGGTTAATTTTTGTGCTCATATAAATCTTCCTCTCTCACACATCAGGGCTAGTAGCCCAGAGGCAGGCAGGGAAAAATAAGGAGATGTTTGGTACTGTCTTATGCTGTCTGACTCTCCAGACAAGGGTCTTTCCCAGCTCTCCCTGGAGACACAGAGGATTGAACCTGTGACCTTCTGCATGCGAAGTATGTGGGGCTTTGCCATTGAGCTACAACCCCTCCCCTAACGCAGTCTGTCTGCAATTCACCAACTGCAAGTTGCTTGGACTGAAGTGTCAGGACAAAATCCAGAGCTTCTGTAGGGCCAGTACACTCACCAGGGCAAGACGGTTTGAACATATAACTGCACTGGTAGCCAATTTGTTTCAGGGCCTAATTTAAAGTACTGGTTTTGACCTATTAAGCTTCAGGACTGCAAGACCTCATGGACCTCCTCCTCCCATATGAACCAACGGAGACCTTGCGATCATCATCTGGTGCCCTTCTTAGTGTGCCTCGTCCGTGAGAGGTCCAGAGGGAGGCAACACGAGAATGGCCTTTTCTGCGGTGGCTCCCCGCTTGTGGGGTATGTTCCCCATGGAAGCCTGCCTGGTGATTTCATTACATATCTTAAGGTGTCTGGCTAATTAAAAAGATCTATGGCCTTTCAAACTGTAAGGGTTTTTGTTTGTTTGTTATGGGGTATATTTGTTTAGGTTTTCATATTGTAAACTGCCCTGTGATCTTAGGATGAAGGGCAGTATAGAAATTTTAATAATAATAATGATGATAATGATAATGTGACGCAACTGGCTATTTGTGTCACCTGATCTCTGCTGATTCAGAAGCTTCAGTAACACCACTTAGCCACTTGTAATGATGGCGCTACAGCACAGCTGAAAATAGACCAGCAATTCCTTCTGGGCTGTTCTGCAAACCATCCCTAAACATAATTGGTGTCGCCTGTTTTATAAATCTTATTGCCCAAGACAGTGATTTACTAATGAGGTATTTTATGGGTAAGAACTTATTAAGCATCCAGCCAGCTGCTATCAAGAAAGCAGCTTTCAAGTTTCAACAGCTCCTCCACTATCAAGACCTGTGTATGCTGGGGAATGAGGAATCGCCTCAAAAACCAACCCCAGAACTTCTGCAACAAGAATTTAAAAACCTTCAGCCAGGATAAATTGTGCAAATGCAACACATTTGAATGAGTTCTTCCTTTCACACAATTCATTCTGCTTTTGGAAGTCGCAACGACAGACAAGGAAGCTATCCAGGACACTGAAGCTCTGTTCCTTGGAAAAGTTACTCAGCACTTCATTTAGCACCAAGCACAGTTAACACCGTTTCAAGCATGTATTTTCAACCATAAGGAATAGCAACCTGCTTTTAAAAAAAGAAAAGAAAAAAGAAATGCTGATATTCTGCAGCAAATACTATACAGTGGAACCTCAGTTGTCGAGCGCTTCGTAAGTCGAACATTTTGGCTTTCGAACAGCGACAACCCAGAAGTGAATGTTTCCATTTTCGGACGCGTCTCAGAAGTCAAACAGATTCCGAGACGCTTTTCTCCATTTTTTTCAATGGATTTTGTCGACCGGCAATTGCGCCCCAGTTGTCGAATGTTTCAGAAGTCAAATGGTCTTCCGGAATGGATTATTTTCGACAACCGAGGTTCCACTGTATTCTGAAGTCAAACTTATATACTGAAAGCACACTCAGTTTTCCAAGTGTGGACCTTAAGAGGTCAAAACCGATCCATCCACACACAAAAGGGAGGTATCAACACCAAAATTTCCAGAAGTACATAACACTTTTAGAGTAAAAGCTTAAGGGACAAACTGCAGAACTGCCTATTGAGGACTGAGCATGCATTCTTCTGAGAGTATCTGATGACTGTTGGGCCATGAATGCAATGAAATATATTGAAGAGGCTGTGGCTAACTGGAAGGAGCCCTGAACAAGAAGCACTTGTGAGAGAGGCTCTAGAGTGCTTCAGGTGGCACATATTAAATCCGATTTGAGTCGTGGGTTTTGTCCTCCTGTGCTGGTATTTCCAGGTTGAAAGTCTGAACCTTTGTGACTAAACAGAAGTGAAAGCTCATGTTTTAATAGCTTGAGTTCACTTGTACGCCTAGAGCCATTTCATACTTGCTTGTAATCCCATCATCATGTACTGCCAAGAATTATATGCCACAGATGTATTACTGGAGAAAAGAATGGTGAAGACATGAAAACCGCTAGTTTGACAATGATGCTGTTTCTTAAAAGCCCTTTATTTCTGCCATAAAACTACCCTGACAGTGTTTGCTTGATTTGATAATAGATATGGATCTATGCTGAATGAAAAGGGACGTGGGTGGCGCTGTGGGGTAAACCACAGAGCCTAGGACTTGCTGATCAGAAGGTCGCAGTCGGGGTGAGCTCCCGTTGCTCGGTTCCTGCTCCTGCCAACCTAGCAGTTCGAAAGCACGTCAAAGTGCAAGTAGATAAATAGGTACCGCTCCGGTGGGAAGGTAAACGGCATTTCTGTGCGCTGCTCTGGTTCTCCAGAAGCGGCTTAGTCATGCTGGCCACATGACCCGGAAGTTGTACACAGGCTCCCTCGGCCAATAAAGCAAGATGAGTCCCGCAACCCCAAAGTCGGCCACGACTGGACCTAATGGTCAGGGGTCACTTTACCTTTACCTATGAGAAAAGTGAACTCATACAACTTTTGATGCCCCACATGGCAAATTTGGCTATAATATATCAGGGATGGGGGAAGAAAATTAAATAAGTTGCAGGTGTTTTGTTTTTTCAATTGAACCAAAGAACCACAGAATTTAAGAGTTGAAAAGAAATCCCAAGGTCATCTACTCCAACCCCTTGCAATGCAGCAAACACAGCTAAGGAACCCCAGACATCATCATCATCATCATATATTATTTCTACCCCGCCCATCTGGCTGGGTTTCCCCAGCCACTCTGGGCGGCTTCCAACAAAAGATTAAAAATACATTAAAACATCAGTCATTTAAAAACTTCCTAAACAGGGCTGCCTTCAGATGTCTTCTAAAACAGATCTAGACAGATCACCACCCAACCTCTGTTCATGATAAGAAAGCCATGATTAGGAGTTAATCGACACGATATAATGGTAAGAGGAATACCATAGAAAATAATGGATCATCACAAATCAACTAGTGTTGGAAATATATATAGCACAACTGAAAGAAACAAAGGCTTTCAGTCATGTTGCCCATACAGGCTGCGGCTATATGGGCCAATAATCTGAATTTGTTTAAGGCAGCTTCCTATGTTTTCCTACACGTTTCCGATACTGGCAGCTCATTCAGCACAGTGTCACACACCGTTGAAAGAGCACCCCCTTCAACAGCCTGGTTTTGGCCTTCTGCCATACCTGCAGCATCCAAACCAACCTTGAAAGATGTTCCACATGCAGTGCATTGCCATAATCCAATCTGGAGGAGGTGACCAATGCCTGGACCAATGCCATAACTAGAGCATCCCAATCCAGGAACGGACACAACTGTTGGCACCAGTCAAAGATGGCAGAAGGCACTCCTAGACAATGAAACTACATCCAGTGTCAAACACGTATCCAAGAGCACCTGCCAAGCTATGTTCCTTCAGAGTCAACCCTCATCCTAAACAGGCAATTTCCCTGACTTGAAAACCACTCACCCACAAAACCTCCATTGTACTAAGATTCAAAGCTCAGTTTAATTACCCTCATCCAACCCATACAGCTCCTGAGCAGCCACACCTGATTCGAATTTTATGGAGATGTAGAGTTACGTGTCCTTCGTGTGTTCATGACACCGTTCTTCAAACTCTGCTTCCAATGGCTTCATGTAGATCAGGGGTCTGCAACCTTTAAGACAAAAAGAGCCACTTGGACCCGTTTCCGAAGGGGGGGGGACTGGGAGCCGCAAAACCATTGCGACATTTAAAACATGCGCGCCGCTGCCCTCCGATCTGACAGCGGGTGGGAAGGTGACTTCGGGACAGTGCGTGACTAATGCACGCACCGCCCCCATGCGACGTCACAGCCAGTACAGCGCCCGCCACAGTGGAGAGTGTCGGGGCGCACAATGCGCCTCCTCCCCTCGCTAGTATCCGCCCCAGAGCCGCGGCAAAGGTGTAAAAGAGCCACATGCGGCTCCGGAGCCGCGGGTTGCAGACCCCTGATGTAGATGATAAACAGCAAGGGAAAGGAAAAAACTGTGCCCTGCAAACCCTATAGCGTAACTGACCATGACCTGAAGAGCACTCCCCAGATATCATAATCTGGAACCAACCCTGGAGATAGGAGTGGAGCCACTGCAAAATGGTACCCAGAATACCCATCCCACAAACCTGGTCTAGGAGGATACCATGGCAGGTATTATTCAAATCCAACAGTGAGATCTAGGAAAAGAAGCAGACGCTCTCGCCTTGTCTTGTGCATTAACTAGCTTACCAATGTCAGGAAGTGTGTGTTATCAGCAGCACAGCCTCATTAACTGGTCATTGTAATTATTTTGCTTTTATGTTATTACATCACTGTCTGTTCTTTTTGCATTTCATTTTTCTCTCAATGTTCCCCCCCACACAAACTCTCAGCTATGTGTATATATTGTTGGGTTTTTTAAGTGTTTGTTTGTAATTGGTTTAA